TTCATTCATTCATTCATTCATTCTCTCTCTCTCTCTCTGTATATATATATATATATATATAATAAATGAATTAAAAATATATACATTTAAATAAATTTTTTGTACATTTTTAAAGCCTGGTTTGATATAACTGGTATTAAAAAATTAATTTATTATATGAACAATTACCTGGTGACGATAATCTAGTGAATCCTGTTATGATTATGCCATACCTGAGGGACCAGGAATGCACCAAGAGCAGCGGATGGTGTGAAAGAGTAGGAACTGCTGTCAGGACCGATGATGGCCACAGTACGGCTGTCTACAGCTGAACTGTCGTCCTGTTGGGCCAGCAGATCCAAGGTGGCCAGATTGCTGGCTGGGAGGGAGCATAAATCATATGTCCGGTAGCCCAGCGTGACCCCTGGAAGTAGCCGCTTATTCTGGGTGCCGTTGTTAATTTCGTCCACGGCATATCTGAAGGCCTGCACCAGATGATAACCATGCTTATTGGTCAAGCCTCTGGAAATAGAATTGAAGGCAAGAAGTGTTTACATTCTGCAAAGTATGGTAAATAAAAATAAATCTTTGTTTGTTTTTTGTTTGGAAGACCCCATACATGTTTTCACTGATCAAAAGAAAATAAATACATACCTGTAGAAAACACTGACATGATCATAGACAAATGGAATATGCAAAGTACAATAAAATGACTTTTTATAATTGCCTCATTCTTACTGTGTGCAGTCAGTCAGGTAAGGTGTCGATGGGATGGTGGAATCTGAATTATGGAGAGGGAACCAGCCAGAGATGATATAATCTCCTTGAAGGTGGAGACCTCCACTGTCACCATAGCTCAACAGACAGAGAAACACAAAACAGACCAACATCTTACCCATGCTGCCTCTGTTATGAGCTACTCAGAAACATATGAGCTTTTAAACTCTTCACACCAGCCCACTGTTTCTCCATACTCTGTAGGTGGCAAGGATTTGCATGCTACCTGTAATTACCACGGAGAGATGCATTTGCCTGAAATTTGTTACCAAAGTGTTTGGATGACTACTGTAATTGTAAGTAAGAGCACAGGTAGGCAAATCTGATGCTGGGGTTTGTATATGGTAACTATTTTTTAATGTCTCTTCATTGGATATTTAAGCATTATCAGCAATAGTGCTGTTACACATTCATGCTCATTTTCGAGCCATTAAGCCAAGATTTGGGGCACTTCCTCCTATTGGTGTAACAAAGTAACGCTCTTGGAATGCTGCTAGAGATCAAACTATTATTTTATTATCCATATTATGTGTTTAGTATCGATATTATATGCTGTCTAACAGAAGAAACGTGCATTTATGCTGTTATGGGTATGTGACACTGTAATGATGGTCTTCATCTGCAAAACAAAGCAGTATTCCTCAAAAAACGTGACTTATGTACCACCAACTAAACCACTGGGAATGGATTTGCCTGTCTCAACAGCTTTTTCCCAGAACTTCGACCTATACAATATAACCAAAATTTTCATTTTTCTTCTAGAGTTATGTTGAACACTACCTCAGTGCCCAAAGCAACAGGCAAATTCATGCAAAATAAGTGAGAATTGCTTAATCATGCAAAACCAAAATTTGCATGTGAAATCTGTTGGGAAGTCAAAACATTCATTGTCATGAATTATGATGTAATAAACATTGCATGCAGCAAAGTTGAATCAGACGTTTAAAAAAGCATATTTTGTATGAAAAATATGAAACCGTGATAAGGCAAACATTTTTTTATTTAAAACCAGCATAAAATCAGACTACAATTACCTAAGACCTGCATAGTCCTCCAGATTTCCAAAAGAAAACACTCATTTCCAGACATTCTCAGACATGCTGATTTCAGCACATGATCAGTCAGCTGATTTCTTTAGTATACAGCACAAACTAATACATTTTATTAGAAATGACCCACATTTAAGACAAGAAATATTAAATCATAAAGTGTATCAACATATAACATCTGAATGACCATATAGAGGATAATAAAATATGGAATGATTCATTACCATTAATTAAAAAAAAGCAGCAATAATAGCAAACCTCCATCACCCAGATACTGTTTTCAGCTATCGATACGTGTTGATTGATTGAAAAACAAAGGTAACAAAATATATTGAACAAAAGTAATATGATAACATGAACATCCATTTTGTTTCAAAATTGAATTACACATGTAGAATAAAATAAATAAATAATGAATAATCATTTCTATTTTTCTGACCAACTCTTGAATAATAAGCCAAAACCATATTTTGGGTGTTTGTGAGGGTGACATTGTGGGTCATTCTTAGGAAGTGATGACACAGTGTGCCTCTTCAGTCACATCAATCAATCCATTTGACTGTTTGTAATGCAAAATATATAGTATATTTTAAAATGAAACCATTTTAATTTGAAATGTCTGGAAACGTTTTAGTCCCCACTAGAAAAAAAAACATTTTTTAAATCTAAATTTGTATTTTATTGAAATGTACACATCATGCTTTCACTACGTAGTATTTTAAAACATTTCTGAGAAATGTAGAATTTGCAATACCATGTGACATTTTTTTCTTTCTGACAATATAAAAAACATAACTCTTTAGGGTTAGTATATGTACTTTGATATTTGGTATTGTAACTTTAAAACTATGTATTAATTTTTTATGTTCTTAATTTAGCACAAATAGCACCTTTTCCTGAGAATGACCCACATACTGAACTAAAAGTAATAGCAAAATTTTCTTTATTTTTTTTTTTACATTTTTGCTATTTTGCAGCTTAACCAAACCTTCGAACACCTGAGGACAGATATATGTATGGCTTCTGAATCTTGAGATCATCCAAAACCTTATTTCACACCATTTAACATCTTTGACATAAATTTTGTCATCATCTGTACGAAGGATATGATTTAGGATTTAATGGTGTATAACAGAGCGAAAGCATGTACTGGAAATATTCAGAGAAAAATACAAGGCAACTAAGACACTGTATACAGCATATTTGTAGGCACATGAGTTTGGGTTTTACTGCTACTCTCCGACACTGAAAGAGCCAATACAAAGAAACAAGGGAAAAACTGCACTTAAGGAGAACCGAATCGGTTTCCAGCTAAGAGAATCACAGAAAGTAACGTCAGTCCAGATTATTGCATAGATCTTAGTGCACAGTGGTTTAGTTCAGCAACAATTGTACGCGGTGAAAACATCTGAACTGACTTGGAGCAGAGATATTTTTGTGAAGCATACTGCATGACTGATCTATTGACTATTGTGACGTTAAAAGCCTGAACTTATTCCAGAGCTCGATGTAGAGTAATACTTTCCTCTATAATGTGTTTTAATCTGTTATTTAAACTGACTGTGGTTGTGTAACTTGCCTTTCAGATTTATGTAAACAAATGAGCAATAGATAGCAGAAATCGTCTATTTAAGAAATATTATTTCTATTTAAGAAATATTATTTCTATTTAATATGTTATTATAATACCATAATTTTTATATTATACTGATAATATATTATTATGATAAAATATTATATCATATATTTGATATATTTTAATACGCATCATTATATATATGATACTCATCATACTACAAAGATTGTGACCTCAGTTAAAGCTTGTGAGGAAGACGACGGAGCCATGCCTTGGCAGTGCTGATGAAGAGGGAACCGCTTTATTTCGGCTAGTCCTGCTCTAAGATAGCATATAAAGCACCAATACTTGCTCTTTGGGAATCTGAAATTCCACACTCATCTGTACAGTGTAAGAAAAAGTGACCAGACACTTAAAAGAGCGACTGGTCCACAAAGAAGCTGAGAAACCAGAATGATGAAGGGCTGATCATCATCTAACTTCTCCATTCATCGCTACAGCTCCTTCTTTCTCTCCATCCCTCGCTCCATCAGGCTCCAGCTCGTCCTGGATGTCATCGGTGTTTCCCGAATCACTGCTGGCCACGGAGCTGAGGGAGGGCGATTGTCTGAAAGGAGAAATGAACACAAATCATTAAAATCCTCTGTGTAGAGTCATACTGTTGTACTTGATATTTGCAGATGATACTGACAGTTTGTTTAACTTTGAAAATAAAGCATGGTTAAACCAACCTGCCGGTGGTGGCTGTGCTTTGGATGAGCCTCCGGCAGGTCTCCATCTGTACGTCCAGTCCTCTCTTCATACTGCACATTTCCATGTACTCATGCAGGTGTCTGTTCATGTCATTCTTGGCTGTGGCCAATTCCAGCTGAGGCAGGAAGATGGCGTTTATCCACAAACGAACTAAAGCAAATATCAGCTGAAACATGCCATTCACAAACGTGACGTCCTCTCTCACCTCAATCTGTCCGATGGTGTCCTGGTACTCCTGCTCTCTGGTCTTAAAGAGGGACTCGGTTTCATTTATGAGGCTTCCTAGACTTCGATCCTGGCAGGATAATATATAAATGCAGAATGCATTATGTATGATTGCATTATGTCATATGCATTCTCAGTTTAATTGCCAGTAATAGTCAATAGTAAGATATACCACTGTTCAAAAGTGATTTGATGCTCAAGAAACATTTCTTATTATCAGTGTTGAAAACAGTGCTGCTTAATATTTTTGTGAAGAACAGCATTTAAAAATCTTTTGTAACATTCAATGAAAAATCATAAATGTCTTTACTGCCATTTTTGATCAATTTAATGCATCCTTGCTGAATACAAGTATCATTATTTTTTTAAATTTCACACTGACCACAAACGTTTGAACACTTGTGCATCTTGTTTGAGGTAGCATCAAGACAATCTTAAAATAGATTGTGTGAAGCTCAGTGAAAATTTTTATCCAGAATGGCAATCAATGGATTTAAAAAAAGTATTTTTAAGCATTTTAAATACTTATGAATGCATAGAGAATACATTGAAAATTACATTACATTTTTGTTTATAATATGCCTACATTTATTTGTAAATGAATATTTAAAAATACAAGTACCAAAAAATATCAATAGAAAATAGTTTTACTAATCTAATTAAGCGAACAGTAGTATTTTATTCAATATTTGTGTGTGATGAAGTATTGTATTGTTACTAGCTTAGCAACATATTTTAATCAAACTGTATTTTGTGTGGTGCTTGTGAGTGAGCATTAACAGCTTTTTTGCCTACTGTATTCAGTTTAAAATGCTTTCTCAGAAGGTAGGTGCCATTTGTAGACAATATGTTTTTCTTTCCCTTTTATACATCTGGCACATTTATCCAAACTGGGTTGCTTATAGAGAGTGGTGACTTGGTGACAGACCTGCTCGTGTGTCTCTCCGTGAGAGTCAGATGCGCAGGATGCTGTTGCGACTGAGCCTGCAGCGGTGGTGCTGAGGTTCAGACTTTTGTAGTTACTGAAATCCTCCCAGAGCAAAAGCGTCTCCTCCGTCTCCTCCCACGCCAGACTGTCACAGTCATCGTCAAACTCGAACGTTTCCCGCCTGCCAACAAACCAATTAAGCTGAGCAACCTCTGGCATCAAGACAGGCATCAGACACAGATGTGGAAGAGAAAAGAGAGGGGAAGGAGACACAAGGAAAAGAAAAGAAAAGGAAAATAAAACAGATCCACAATCGAAAAGATTTTAAACAAAAGGCTATATACACGAGGGAAGAAAAAATATATAATAATAAACACGGGGAAAACGTGCTAATAACCATATTTTACTAAAGAGATTATTAAAGTAAGAAGAATCAATAATACAAACAATTAGATGATAAAAGATCTTTCTCAAATAGGAAAAATTACAGCAACACAAAATGAACGTTCACCATATCCTCCTGAGAACCACAAAAAAAAAGTTTTGTGATTTAAAAATGTTTTTTTTAATATCATTACATTGGTTGGAGCATAAGAAACAAATAGAGGACAAAACATTTTTGAAAGAAAAAAAAAATCATATTTTATTCTATGTCCTTTGTAGAGGAAACCAGGACTAAGTTATTAAAAAAAAAAAAAATTAAATAGACGTGAAAAGGCATGTACAGGCAAAAACAATGGTTCTCAACTTTGTTATGAAAGATATAACAGAATGATTTGATATACTATTTTACTTTATGCAATATATGCGTAAAATGTCCATAAATTGGTATTCCCACTCTAAATAATGTATCTATACATTGCATCTAATGTGCATGTGTTAATGTGTTCTTGGGGAAAACCATAATGTAATAATGGGAGTAATAACTTGGTAACATTTTCATAAGAATATCTAATATTTCATAGGAATATTGATCTATAATTTCTTTTCCAATTGACTTGTTGTGTCTCCCAAAAATGCCTGATTAACACGCTGTTTGTCCTGGTGTCCTCTACAGAAGACATGTATGAAAATTATGCCCTGTCTCGTAACAAAAACAAAGAGTCATATTCCGATTTGAAACCCCATAACATTTTTTGTGTTTATTTACGACAAACAATTAGAAAATTTGCCAGATTTAAATGATAATTACAAAACATTATCATATTTCCCTAAGAGTGCTAAATTTGATCATTCTGTCACTATCGGTCATATTTAAAGACCAAGGAGAGGGAGTGTTTATGATCAAACCTCCAAACATTTGATATCTCTGAAAAGCCCTGAATATGCTCTGTACAGGACATCCAGGACGGAGAAATTCACTAAAATATAAGTCTATGCCTGGGTTCCAGGAGGATATGAACACTAGATGGCAGTAAGTGATCAAACACCAAGCCACAGTCCATATTCCATACTTTTAGCAGCATATTTTGCCCTTCAAGTTCACTTATAATGTTACACAAGGTTTCTTAAACAACTAAATACTGAGATTTATTATAGTATTTAATAAGATTTTTTATTTTTATTTTTTCATTTTAATTTAATTTACATTGTAATAATTTTGCAATGTGGTTTTGGCATTTAAAAAAAAGTATCTTTTAAATGATACATTTTCATTTCTGTTTTGTTTTAGTAAATTTAGTACTCCAGCTTAAAATTATTTATTTCATTTAGTCACCAAGTCTTGAATTTTTTAATATAACATTTATGTTTTATTTTAGCTTCATTTAAATGACAGAAAACAGTATTTTCTTGCTCTTTTGAAATAAAAGATTAAAAAAAGATAAATGTACTATGTAGGCATTCTTAGAACTCTGTAGACATTGTGACTACAACATAATGATTTCTAAATTATACACATACACATGTAAATATACATGTACATATATGACCTTACCATTCCTAGCACCAGGAGCTACAGCAACTAATTCTTAACTCTTAAAGTAGCTTTTTTTTTAAAGAATAAGAAAAAAATGAAAATGCTGTTTTTCATGTAAACCTTTAAGAATCATACAAACAACAAATAATGAAATAAATGAAATGTAAAGCACTAAAAACAATTCATTCACACACACACACACACACACACACACACACACACACACACATCAGAATATGCCCTCTAATGGCTATGAGGACTCACAGCTGGTTGAGCATCCTCTTCATCTCATCAGTGATGTTGAGAGAACCAGGCACATCTTCCTCACGGTGACCAGAATCACCATCAGTTTCCACTCTCTGCTCCTCAGATTCACCCTTACACTCTTTCCTCCTACATACCACCATCCCCTACAACACACACACCCACACATACTCTGATTGCAGAAAGATTCAAATTGCATGATAAGCTGTTATATAAACTCCATGTACTGCAAATCAAATCTGTCCTAAAATTAGCACATGATTGAATGTTGTATTGTTAAATCCATTATCTAAAGCTGTGCATCATTACCGGAGCACTGTTCCAGTAGAGTGGATGGTTTATCAGAATTTATTGCAAGTGTAAGTTTCTGTACCCCTTTCTGTTCGGGAGGAGCTCTGGATGGGCTGCCGTGAAATATCTTGCTCATGTCCTCTGAATTCCTCTGCTGTGCTACATCACAAAGCTTGGCTGTGATGTCGATGCGTCTGCAGATGTCCATATCAACCTTCATGGCTTTCTCCTGGATTTTAGTGTCCAAGTCCGACACTTCCTATACAAGAATGCATGAGAATGTGAATAAAAGATATTTCAGACTTGATCTGTCATGCACTGATTGAACAGAAAATTTGAACAGGAAAACATTGCTCTATAAAAACATATAGCAACATACATTTTTTGCAGAATTATTGCAACCATGCAAACATCCATGAAGCATGACAAATAATTTTGAAAAGTAAAAACGCAAATATTTTATACATTCTCAATTAAATAAAAAAAACTGCATGCATAGTAATAATAGAAAATAACTGAATTATGTGTATATATGAGTCATTCTTTGTACGAGGTTGAAAATTTTGAATTTAATGTACATATATATATATATATATACGCTGAACAAAATTATAAACGCAACACTTTTGTTTTTGCCCCCATTTTTCATGAGCTGAACTCAAAGATCTAAGACTTTTTCTATGTACACAAAAGGCCTATTTCTCTCAAATATTGTTCACAAATCTGTCTAAATCTGTGTAAGTGAGCACTTCTCCTTTGCCGAGATAATCCATCCACCTCACAGGTGTGGCATATCAAGATGCTGATAAGACAGAATGATTATTGCACAGGTGTGCCTTAGGCTGGCCACAATAAAAGGCCACTCTAAAATGTGCAGTTTCACATACACATACATTCAAAATGCCATCAATAAAATGTACCTGTGTTCGTTGTCCATAACATATGCCTGCCCATACCATAACCCCACCGCTACCATGGGCCACTCGATCCACAACGTTGACATC